AATCTTGAGGAGGAACAACAAAGCTAGAGATATCACACTGTCTTATTTCAAACTATATTACAAAACTACACTAATCAAAACAGTAAGACTTGGACATAAAACAGACATACAGATCAGTGGAACAGAATACAGAGTCCAGAAATAAACCCATGCACATACAGTCATTTAATTAATGACAAAGAAGCCAAGAATATAAAATGGGGAGAGGACAGTCTCTTCAATAAATGGTATTAGAAAAACTGGATAACCATATGCAAAAGAATGAAACTGGGCCACTATCTTACATCATCCACAAAAATTAACTCAAAGTAATTAAAGACTTTAATGTTACACCTGAAACCATAAAACTCCCAGAAGAAAGCATGGATGGTAAGTTCTTAGACATCAGCCTTGGCAATTAGTTTTTTAATCTGACACCAAAAGCAAAAGCAACAAAAGCAAAAATAGAAAATGGGACTACATCAAACTAAAATACTTCTGCACAACAAAGGAAACCATCAACAAAATGAAAAGGCAACCTACTAAATGGAAAAAGTATTTGCGAATCATACACCCAACACAGAGTTAATATATAAAATATATAAAGAACTCATACATTTTCAAAATTCCTTTGGCTATTAGAGGTCTTTTCTGGTTCCATATAAATTTTAGGTTTATTTATTCCATTTCTTTGAAAAAAATGGATGGTATTTTGATAGGCATTGCATTAAATGTGTAGATTGCTTTAGGTAGCATAGACATTTTCATAATATTTGTTCTTCCAATCCAGGAGTATGGAACATTTTTCCATTTGTGTCTTCCTCAATTTCTTTCATGAGTACTTTATAGTTTTCTGAGTATGGATTCTTAGCCTCTTTGGTTAGGTTTATTCCTAGGTATCTTATAGTTTTGGGTGCAATTGTAAATGGGATTGACTCCTTAATTTCTCTTTCTTCTGTCTTGTTGTTGGTGTAGAGAAATGCAACTGATTTCTGTGCACTGATTTTATATCCTGACACTTTACTGAATTCCTGTACAAGTTCTAGCAGTTTTGGAGTGGAGTCTTTTGGGTTTTCCACATATAGTATCATATCATCTGTGAAGAGTGATAGTTTGACTTCTTCTTTGCCGATTTGGACAGCATGGTACTGGCACAAAAACAGACACATAGATCAATGGAACAGAATAGAGAGCCCAGAAATAGACCCTCAACTCGATGGTCAACTAATCTTCGACAAAGCAGGAAAGAATGTCCAATGGAAAAAAGACAGTCTCTTCAATAAATGGTGTTGGGAAAATTGGACAGCCACATGCAGAAAAATGAAATTGGACCATTTCCTTACACCACACACGAAAATAGACTCAAAATGGATGAAGGACCTCAATGTGAGAAAGGAATCCATCAAAATCCTTGAGGAGAACACAGGCAGCAACCTCTTCGACCTCAGCTGCATTAACATCTTCCTAGGAACATCAACAAAGGCAAGGGAAGCAAGGGCAAAAATGAACTATTGGGATTTCATCAAGATCAAAAGCTTTTGCACAGCAAAGGAAACTGTTACCAAAACCAGAAGACAACTGACAGAATGGGAGAAGATATTTGCAAACAACATATCAGATAAAGGGCTAGTGTCCAAAATCTATAAAGAACTTAGCAAACTCAACACCCAAAGAACAAATAATCCAATCAAGAAATGGGCAGAGGACATGAACAGACATTTCTGCAAAGAAGACATCCAGATGGCCAAGAGACACATTAAAAAAGTGCTCCACATCACTCGGCACCAGAGAAATACAAATCAAAACCACAATGAGATATCACCTCACACCAGTCAGAATGGCTAAAATTAACAAGTCAGGAAATGACAGATGCTGGCGAGGATGCGGAGAAAGGGGAACCCTCTTACACTGTTGGTGGGAATGCAAGCTGGTGCAACCACTCTGGAAAAAAGCATGGAGGGTCCTCAAAAAGTTGAAAATAGAACTACCCTATGACCCAGCAATTGCACTACTGGGTATTTACCCTAAAGATACAAACGTAGTGATCCGAAGGGGCACGTGCACCCGAATGTTTATAGCAGTAATGTCTACAATAGCCAAACTATGGAAAGAACCTAGATGTCCATCAACAGATGAATGGATAAAGAAGATGTGGTATATATACACAATGGAATACTATGCAGCCATCAAAAGAAATGAAATCTTGCCATTTGCGACGATGTGGATGGAACTAGAGGGTATCATGCTTAGCGAAATAAGTCAATCGGAGAAAGACAACTATCATAGGATCTCCCTGATATGAGGAAGTGGAGATGCAACATGGGGGGTTAAGGGGGTAGGAGAAGAATAAATGAAACAAGATGGGATTGGGAGGGAGACAAACCATAAGTGACTCTTAATCTCACAAAACAAACTGAGGGTTGCTGGGGGGAGGGGGGTTGGGAGAGAAGGATGGGGTTATGGACATTGGGGAGGGTATGTGCTATGGTGAGTGCTGTGAAGTGTTTAAACCTAGCGATTCACAGACCTGTACCCCTAGGGATAAAAATATATGTTTATAAAAAATTAAAAATTAAAAAAAAAAAAAGAACTCATACAATCCAACTGAAAAAAGAAATCCAATTTTTAAAATGGGCAGATCTGACTAGACATTTTCCCAAAGAAGACATACAGATAGCCAATGGCCACATGAAAAGATGCTCAGTATCACTCATCAAGGAAATGCAAATCTGGGCACCTGGGTGGCTCAGTTGGCTAAGTGTCTGCCTTCAGCTCAGGTGGGAACAGGTGGGAGTCCCAGGATTGAATCCCACATCAGGCTCCCAGCTCAATGAGGAGTCTGCTTCTCCCTCTAGCCCTCCAACATCTCATATTCTCTCTCTCTCTCAAATAATAAAAATCTTAAAAAAAAAAAAAAAAAAAAGGAAATACAAATCAAAGCCACAAGGAGACATCACCTCCCACCTGTTAGAATAGCTCGTATCAAAAAGACAAGAAGTGGGCACCTGGGTGGCTCAGTTGGTTAAGCTGCTGCCTTTGGCTCAGGTCATGATCCCAAGTTCCTGGGATCGAGTCCCGAATCAGGCTCTCTGCTCAGCAAGGAGCCTGCTTCCCCCCTCTTTCTCTGTCTGCCTCTCTGTCTACTTGTGATCCCTCTGTCAAATAAATAAAATCTTAAAAAAAAAAAAAAAAAAAGACAAGAAGTAACAAGAGTTGGAGGGGATGTGGAAAAATGGGAAACCTTGGCTCTGTTGGTGAAATTATAAATTGGTGCAACCACTATGGAAAACAGTATAAATGTTCCTCAAAAATTTAAAATAGAACTACCATACAATCCAGAATTTTCACTTCTGCGTATTTATGCCAAGTATTCAAACGTTTTTGCAAAAAGATTTGTGTCCCCATGTTCACTGCAGGATTATTTAGAATAGCAAAAATATAGAAACAAGCTAAGTATCCATGGATATATGAAAGGATAAAGAATTAGAGTATATATATGTTATATTGTGATTTATAGTAAGAAATATATATTTGGTCTTCAACCCAGTTCTTGGCACAGAGCTTCTAAAACCTGTGGAATTTCCTGGGAAAGAAGCAATAAAGGTGTCTTTTGTTATGTTAATGTAGTGACTTTGGGAAAGCCTGAGGTAACCTAAAGATGGGGGCTGGTTAGGGAGTCAACCTGTAATTAGAAGGTTTTAACTTTCAGTACCCACAGCCCAATGTCTAGGGAGGGGAGAGGGGCTGGAGGCTCAATCAATCACCAATGGTCCATGAGGGTTTAATCAATTCTGACTGTGTGATAAAGCCTCTATAAAAACCCAAAAAGACAGGGTTCAGAGAGCTTCTAGATTGGTGAACACATGAAGATTTGGAAAGAGTGGTGACCTGGAGAGAGCAGGGAGGCTCCATGACTTTTCCCATACCATGCCCCATGCATCTCCTCCACCTGGCTGTTCCTGAGTTATTATCCTTTTGTAATAAAAGTGATCTCCTATGTAAAATGTTTCATATTTCAAATTAACTGAACTCAAGGAGCGGGTCATGGGAATCTGATTTTTAGCCAGTTGGTCAGAAGTACAGCTGACAACCTGGACTTGCGAAGGGCGTCTGAAGTCCAAGGACAGGGGCAGGGGAATCTCCAACCTGCATGCCTCATCGTCAGAAGCACAAGGAATAGCCTGGGCTTGCTGCTGGCATCCGACACAGACTAAGGGTTGAGGACAGTCTTTTTAGGACTGAACCCTTACCCTATGAAGCTGATACTATCTGTAGGCAGACAGTACCAGCACTGAGTTGAGTTCTTGGACACTCCTGGAATACACGATGGAGTAGTATTCAGCCACATAAAAGAAGGAAATCTTGCCATTTGGGACAGCATGGATGGAGCTCGAGGGGATTATGCCAAGTGAAATAAGTCACACAGAAAGACAAGAAGAGCCCAATCTCACTTATATATGGAATCAAAACAAACAAGCTCATGGATACGGAGACCAGATTAGTGGTTGCCAGAGGTGGAGGGTGGAGGTACGTGAAATGGGTAAAGATGGAAAGGTGCAAAAGTCCAGCTGTGAAAGATGTAAGACACAACACACTGACTACAGTCAGTCATACTGCAGGTTTGAAAGTTGCCGAGAGAATACATTTTAAAAGCTCTCATCACAAGAAAAAAACATATTTGCAACTACATATGGTGGTAGATAGATGTGGTGATCATCTTGCAATAGGGACAAATAACAAATCATTATGTTGTGCACCTGAAACTAATACAACATTATATGTCAATTACACCTCAATCAAAAAATAATAATAATAATAATATTTTCCACTTCTCCCCACTCCAGCTAAGAACAATGAAGAAATTCCAGGCTAAAAGGATGAGCTCTCAGAAAGTTTCAACCCAACACTCAATCAAAGCAACTTTGCTTTGGGGCAAAGTTCCCATCCGTCACCCTTTTTACAAAGGTCCCACTGAATGAGATACGTGTCAAATCCAAAATGCCAAACAGAATTATCATTACCTCTCAGTGGAATCTCTGATGAGCTGCTGCAGGTCCACCTCCTGCTTCCTCAGGCTTCCAAAAGAAGACTGACTTTCCACAAGTCCTTTGCCTCCAACATTCAGCTTGACCTTCCCTAGTGCCGTCTCGATGGTCCCGCTCACGTGGTTTTGAAACTTGCCCTCGTATTTCACAAAGTCCGACTCCACGACCACTGGAGTGAATGAGACAGGCAAAGGAGTCTGAGGATAATTTGGCCACCTAGCTGCCTTAGGTCACCTACCTTCCCAATCCTGTAGAAAACCACAGGAAAAAATTTTGAATTTCCATTTAAAATGGAAAATTGGCAGCCATGCTCGGTGTGTGTTCAAACCAAAATGGAGCTAGCCCCCCGAGGTACTGAGAGAGGGATGGGGCTGGTGGCCAGGGGGCGCTATTGGGTGCTGTTTTTGTTTATTTCGTCTTTCATTTCCAATATATATGTATGTAGACAGGGGCACCACAAGTATCTGAAGAGTTTAACAAATAAGTTTAAAGCCAGCATCCTGGGGCCCCTGGCTGGCTCAGTCGGCAGAGCACTCAACTCTTGATCTCGGGGTTGTGAGGTTTAGCCCCACAATGGCTATAGAGATTACTTAAAGATAAATAAGTAAACAAACTTTAAAGCAAGCATCCATTTAACCACTATTCAGATAGAATTTTTAAAATTTTTTTAAATAGAATATTCTATATTTTATTTTTTTTTAAAGATTTTATGTATTTATTTGACAGAGATCACAAGTAGACAGAGAGGCAGGCAGAGGGAGGGAGGAAGCAGGCTCCCCACTGAGCAGAGAGCCCGATGCAGGGCTCGATCCCAGGACACCGAGGTCACCACCTGAGCCGAAGGCAGATGCTTAACCCACTGAGCCACCCAGGTGCTCCTAAATAGAATATTTTAAATGTGTGCTTTCCCCCGGTGAAGACTGTAAAGGAACTGCATGAGGAGGACACCGAAGCAGAGTGAAAACGGCAGTTCTGCTCATGACCCACCTTCAAGTGGTCTGCCTTCCCCAGCCATGTGGAGTGCGGGCATCTCCCCTTCCCACCCACCAGTCTGGGAGGACATTCCCCTGGCCTTCGCTACCATCTCTATGAAAAAATTTCCTTTCCTGTACTTACTTGTTTATTTTTTATTTTTATTTATTTATTTTTTAGAGCGATGGCACGGGCAGAGGGAGAGACAGAATCTTAAACAGGCTCCACCCCCAGCATGGATGCAGGATTGACAGGGAGCTGGATCTCACCGCCCTGAGCTCCTGACCCAAGCTGAAATCACAAGTCTGAGGCTTGACTGAGCCACCCAGGCATCCCAGGCTCACCTGTTTACACTGACCTCTACCCAGCCATTTCATTCCTTATCATACAATACCTTATCTCTCCTCAGATAAAGTCAGTGGGCATGCCTGCCCTCCCTTCCTCCCTCCCTCTCTCTCAAACACCATCCTCGGACCGACAAGCCCCAGGCTCTCTGCCCTTACTTCCTGGCTTCCCAGACTTGGAAAGATGCCACCTCCCCCCAGTCCAGGTGTCCCAGCTTCAGTCAAGTCCTCTGGGAATTACTGTGTTCCTCACCTGGTCACACCTAGGATACCAGCACATTGCCTTCAAGACCAGCCGTTCTTATCCGGACACCGAAGATAAATATGTGCTGATCTCATCTCAGAATTGACCCCTGCTCTTATCTCCAGATTTCTACTGTTCTCAGTTTTAATCCAGCCAAATACCACCAGAAAAATGTCAGTCATTTTCATTTGATATAGCTGTATTTAGAGCCTCTTAGGAACTTTTACACTTGGCTTTTTCCACTTCCCTGACCCAAGGCTCTCCTGGGCTCCTGGCTGTATTTCTAAGAGATTCAAGTCTGTCTGAAGTCTGCAAAACTTCTTTCCATCCACTCACTGCCGCCTACACCTGTATTTCCTTCACTTCAGTCAAGGAAACCATTCCTCAGCAAGGGCTGAGAAGTTATCATCAATCACTATCTTCACAATTTACGAAATAGAGAATCATCTCTGTCACCACCACCACCGAAAATAAGACATCAGTGAAAATCCTTTAATCCCAAATCTTTTCCTATTTATATCTTATGGAATACAAACATTTTGGGAAATGCTTTGGGAAGTAGCACAGAGCGCTTGTTAAGAGCACCAGATTTTAATCGCTATTCTACTATCCCTACCTAGAAGAACTGGCTACCACGCATCTCCCGGAACCTCCGTCTTCTCAGCTGTGATCTGGAGACACCACCTTCCTGATGGGTTCTGTTACACGCTGATGTATGTAAATCACATAACACAGAGCCTGGCACATAGCACGTGCTCAATATGTCCACTGAGTTTAGGCCAGAACAATGTCATTTTCTGATAAAAAGAACAGTTCTAGATCATACAAAGTGCTACACAGAAATTTTATTTCTTTACCTCCCCTCTTCTCTAGCTATTTTTTGGAACAGCTTGATAGCCTGTCTGCTCTGCTCTCACCAGAAAGCTCCCTTATGTGAATAACAAAACTTTCCACACCCTTCTGATGGATAGTGGCATCATCAACTTCAACCTAAATCAGATTTTGGGTGGCAGATCCATCTTACCTATGCTGGGTGGCCACAACACTTACAATGGGCATGTATTATTTTAATACTCAAAACTGCAATTTTTTTAAAATTAAGCTATAACTTCTCTTGTCTGGCCTGTAGAATTTTGTTCATTTAAAAAATGGGGTACCTTGAGGCACCTGGGTGGTTCAGTCAGTTAAGCGTCCAACTCTTGATTTCAGCTCAGGTCAGGAATTCAGGATTGTGGGTTTGAGCCTCACCTCGGGCAACGTGCTCAGCGGGGAGTCTGCTTGAGATTCTCTCTTCCTCTCTTTGTCCCTTACACCCCCCTCCCAAAAAAATATATAAATTCTAAAAAAAAAAAAAAAAAAAAGTAAGAAAAAAAGGAAGGGAGGGAAGGAGGAAGGGAGGAAATGTCTTTAAGAGCGTATGCAAAGAAACAGAATTCATTGTAAGGTCTCACCTTACAATCGATCACTCATGACACCATGTGCCTAGAAGATGAATCATCATCTTTTCAGGGACTAACTGTAGAATATACCCAAAGACACTTACCTGGACTCAGAAACTGGTCTTCTGTGAGTACATCTCCAAGGGTGACAGATAAAAACTGGTACTTGGGTCTCTGCCAGCACCAGAATCTCTTCTTTTTGGTCACCAGACTTAGAAGTTGTAACTTATCAGAGTCATTCAAGTTTGATACTGCAATCAGGTTACCTCCAGCATCAACTTCTTTAAGAAAATTCCTCGTTGCTTTGGCAAACATTATGAGAGCTCCAGATTACCTGGATAAAAAATCAAAGTTACCCCCCAAATTAAACAAGAAGTTATTATTTCATTTATTTTTTTCTAAGACCGCCTTATTTTTCCTTTGTGTCAATCACTATATATTAAAGAATACCTTCTCCTTAGAAAACCCTCTAGTGGGGGTTCAGTTGATGACAAAGAAATCAAATGGAAATACTGAAAGAGACTCCGTAGGTCTGGATAGGCCAAGTTACACTTCTGACATAAAGAACCTCCAAATATTACTGGCTTATACCAAGAAAGGTTTATTTACTGGTCACTATGTCTGGTAGCGAGGACAGGAGAGCTTTTCTCATCCTAGTCATTCAGTGATCCAGACTGAAGGCGCAGCCACCATCCAACATGAAGGGTTCTGGAAAGTCTCACACCAGCAATTAAATGCTCTGGCCCAAAACTAACACACATCATGTCCACTCAAAATTTGCCAGACTGGTCATATGGCCTCAGCCAGCCAGAATGGTCAGGAAATACAATGGTACCATGTATCTAATAGGTAGAGATCTGAGGATATTTGTTGACCAACATACCGACTACCCTAATTTATAACATACAAAGATATGACCACTTTTTTTAAAGGGTCAACATGCTTTTCCTCCACACTGTGTGATTTCCCCTATTCACAAAAGCCAAGGAATTATTACTTTTTAATCCAGAAATGAAGACCCAGTCACTCCTCAGCTGGAGGGAAAAAGAAGAAACACATTGGCAGATATAAAACCATGCATTAGGTGGAAGAGGTATAGACTATTCAATAAATGGTGTTAGAAGAATTGCCTAATCATCTGGAAAAAAATAAAGCCATATTCCTATCTCATGCCATACACAAGACTGAATTCTTAATGGATTAGAAGGGTTTTTTTGAGGAAAAAAATGAAACCATAAAAGTACCAGAAAAAATGCAGACAAATATTTTTTTCAATTGTAGGATGAGAAAGGCCTTTAGGAAGACAAATGGCAAACTGAGAAAATACTTCTAATATTTATAATGAAGAACGAGAATAGTTAATATATAAAAAAATCTTTTACAAGTTGTTTTTTTAAAATACTGTAGTAGAAACATGGGCAAAGGTTATAAACAACTCACAATATATAAACTGCACCCAGCCTATACACATACAAATATACACATATGTGCAAACACACAAGTACACGCATATATAGTCATTACTCAAAAGCACAAGTGAAATAAGATTTTTAAAAAATTATCCACGGTCAAAGGTTAAAATATCTAATGGACAAGAAATGTGTTTCATTTGTATTTCTATCCTGGTATCTGGCAGCCACATAGGTATAAAATCACACAGTTTGAGAGCTGGGAATGGTCTCAGACATGAACTAGTTCAACCCCTTTGCTTTATTTTTCTGTTTGTTTCTGTTTTTTAATTTATTTATGTTTTTAAATTTCATTTATCTATTTAAATTCAATTAATTAACTTATAGTGTTCTATTGGTTTCAGAGGTAGAGGTCAGTGATTCATCAGTCTTATAGAACACCCAGGGCTCATTATAGCACGTGCCCTCAATGCCCATCACCCATTTACTCCATCCCTCCCACCTTCTCTCCAGCAACCCTCAGTTTGTTTCCTATATCTAAGCATTTTTTATGGTTTGTCTCCCTCTTTAATTGCATCTTATCTTATTTTGTGCTCCCTTTCACTATGATCCTGTTTTGTTTCTTAAATTTCACATATGAATGAAATCATCATAATGGTCCTTCTTTGACCGACTTAGTTCACTTAGCGTAACACTCTCTAGTTCTATCCATGTCATTTTTGATGGCTGAATAATATTCCATTGTATATATATACACCACATCTTCTTTATCCATTCATCTGTTGAAGGACATCAGGGCTCTTTCCATAGTTTGGCTATTGTGGACATTGCTGTTATAAACACTGGAGTGCACGTGATCCTAAGGATCACTGCTTATATCTTTTGGGTAAATGCCTAGTAATGCAATTGCTGGGTCATAAGGTAGTCTATTTTTAGCTCTTTGAGGAACCTCCATACTGTTTTCCAGAGTGGCTGTACCAGTTTGCATTCCCAACAGTGTAAGAGGTTCCCCTTTCTCCACATCCTCACCAACATCTGCTGTTTCCTGACTTACTAATTTTAGCCATTCTGATTGGTGTGAGGTCCTGTCTCATTGTGGTTTTGTTTGTCCCTGATGCTGGGTCATGTTAAGCATTTTAAGAACAAATATTGTTAAAATGTCTATGCTACCCAGAGTAATCTACCCATTCAATGCAATCCCTAACAAAATAGCATCAACATTTTTCACAGAGCTGGAACAAATAATCTTAAAATTTGTATAGAACGAGAAAAGACTCCAAATAGCCAAAGGAATGTTGAAAAAGAAAATCAAAGCTGATAGCATCACAATGCCAGACTTTAAGCTCTATCAGAAAGCTGTAGTCATCAAGACAGTATGGTACTGGCAAAAAAACAGGCACACAGGTCAATGGAACACAATAGAGAACCCAGAAATGGACCCTCATTTCTGTGGTCAACTAATCTTCGACAAAGCAGGAAACAATGTCCAATGGAAAAAAGACAGTCTCTCCAACAAATGGTTTTGGGAAAATTGGACAGCCACATGCAGAAAAATGAATCTGAACCATTTTCTTACTCCATACACAAAAATAAATTCAAAATGGATAGAAGACTTAAGAGTAATACAGGATTTCATCAAAATCCTAGAGGAGCACACTGGCAGCAACCTCTTTGACCTTTGCCATAGCAACTTCTTGCTGGACACGTCTAAAGGCAAGTAAAAAAAAAGCAAAAATGAACTACTGGGTCTTCATCAAGATAATAAGCTTTTGCACAGCAAAAGGAAACAGTCAACAAAATCAAAAGACAACCACTGAATGGGAGAAAATATTTGCAAATGTCCTATCAGATAAAGGGCTAGTAATCAAAATCTATAAGAACTTATCAAACTCAGTGCCCAAAAAGCAAATAATGCACTCAAGAAATGGGCAGAAGAAATGAACAGATATCTCTCCAAAGAAGACATAGAAATGGCCAACAGGCACAACCCACTTGCTTTAACACAAAGTTCCTCTAGTATATCAGTAAACATTTGTCTTACCTATCACTAGTTCTTCTCTAAAGTGCCTTTTCTTAGATTACTCTGTGGCTACCTAACCCTATTCTTGTATATTAACAATAAGAATAAACATTTAAGGAAGGGATGCTAAAACACAAAAAGTTCCTTATTTGAGAGAGAGTGCTCGTGTGCAAGAGCAGAGGGAGAGGCAGAAGGGGTGGGAAAGGGAGAGAGAATCTGAAGCTGACTGCACACCAAGGACAGAGCCCAATACAGGGCTCAATCCCAGAACATCAAGATCATTACCTGAGCCGAAACCAAATGTCAGAAGCTCAACTGACTGAGCCACCCAGGCATCCCTAAAAACTTCCTTTCTGATCAACAGTGAACTGTAAAGAAGGAGAATTATGTATGCTCAAACTCTCAACTCTAATGCATCTCTCACTATACTAAGTTTCTTGCATGTGATGGAGCACTCATTTATCAAAACACTTACTGTATCATTAATTATCTTTAAGTACCTACTATACACAGGTACTGTATTTAAGGGCTTAGGATACTGAAATGAAAAGTTGTCTCTATACAGATGGCCAACAGACACATGAAAAGATGCTCAACATCACTCATCATTAGGAAAATGCAAATCAAAACTCTGAGATATCACCTCACACCAGTCAGAATGGCTAGAATCAAAAAGAGAAAAAAAAACAACAAGCATTGATGAGGATGTGGAGACAAAGGAACCCCCATGCACTGTTGGTAGGAATGCAAACTGGCATAGACTTCATGGAAAAGAGTATGGAGGTTGCACAAAAAATTAACAAGAGAAATACCGAACAACCCAGTAAACCCACTAGTGGATATTTACCCAAAGAAAACAAAAGACTAATTTGGAAAGATATATGCAACTCTGTGTTTATTGCAGCATTACCTACAATAGCCAAGACATGGAAGCAACCCAGGTATCCACCGACAAACAGATAAAGACGAAGTGGTATATTTACGCAGTAGATATTACTTAGCCATAAAAAAGAATGAAATCTTGCCATTTGCAACAACACGGATGCTAAGTGAAGTCAGGCAAAGACAAATATCATATGAATATAAAATATGAATTCAAATATCATACGAATATATGGAATAGAAAAAAAAATAAATGAACAAACAAAAGCAGAAACAGATAAATACAGAGAACAAACTGATGGTGGCCAGAGAGATGCGGTAGGAGGATGGGTGAAGGGGAGAAGATGGTGCAGCCTTCCAGTGACGGAATAAATCCCAAGGATGAAAGGTACAGCATAGAGAATATAGTCAATGAATCTGCAATAACCTTGTGTGGTGAAAAATGGTAGCTACACTTGTGGTGAGCTTAAGATACAGAGCTGTCAAATCACTATGCTATGCAGCTGAAACTAATGTAATGTTGTTTGTCAACTCAAAAATAGACCCACCGATCAATGGAACAGAATAGAAAACCCAGAAACAGACCCACAACTATATGGTCATTTAATCAACAAACCACTAAACAATATCCAATAGAAAAAAGAGCCTCCTCAACAACTGGTGTTGGGAAAACCAGACAACAACATGCAAACAAATGAAACTGGACTACTTCCTTACATCATACACAAAAATAAGTCCAAAATGGATGAAAGACCTAAATGTGAGACTGGAAACCAACAAAATCCTAGACGAGAACACAGACAGCAACATCCTTGACCTCGGCCACAGAATCTTCTTACTGGACACATCTTCAAAGGCAAGGGAAACAAAAGCAAAAATGAACCACTGGATTTTCAAGATAAAAAGCTTCTGCACAGGGGCGCCTGGGTGGCTCAGTGGGTTAAAGCTTCTGCCTTCAGCTCAGGTCATGATCCCAGGGTCCTGGGATCAAGCCCCACATCAGGCTCTCTGCTCAGCAGGGAGCCTGCTTCCCCCTCTCTCTCTGCCTGCCTCTCTGCCTACTTGTGATCTCTGTCAAATTAATAAAAAAAATCTTTTAAAAAAAATCTTCTGCACAGTGAAGGAAACAGTCAATAAAACTAAAAGGCAGCCTGTGGAATGAGAGAAGATATTTGCAAACAACATATCTGATAAAGGGTTATTATCCAAAAATCTATAAAGAACTTATTAAACTCAACA